TGTGATCACACACACAGAAATCCCATAAAAACACAAACCTGGAAAACATAATGTGTACACAGAGGACCTGCAAGAATTTTGAAAAGGCCGCGACGATACATTATTAGATAAAGAAGCTCCGGAGACGCCACTGAGTTCATTTTGTATTGGCCGTCTACTGCTGAACATTAGGCCTGCCCTTAAGAGCGGTTTGTATCCCCACTGAAACTCCATTGGAGGAAACCCGTCTTTCCTTTGTGATATATTATCAATTGGAGATAGCTTCTGGATTAACGATGGGGGCTTGTGGCCAGGAGTGGAGGCACACGCCTTTAATCCCAGCACTCAGGAGGCAGAGGCAGGTGGATCTCTGAGTTTGAGGCCAGCCTGGTCTACAAAGGACAGCCACAGCTACACAGAGAAATCCTGTCTCAAAAAAACCAAAACCAAACAAAACCCCCAAACCCCAAAAGAAACCCTCCCCACAATTGCCCAAACAAAAACAAAAAAAGTGGGGGTTAGTGTCCACTTTCCCACTCATTGCTGGAACTCTTTCTGGTTTAGACATGTATAGGCCCAGTGCATGCTTTCAAGTCTCTGTGAGTTCAGCACATTGGTCCTGATGGCTCTAGAAGGCTTTGGGATGAGATTTAACAACTTTCAGCTATGTAAGTTATATGAAGAAAACACAGACAGCTTACTGAAATTTTAACTGGCTGCATTCCCTGTTATTATACGTCTTCATAGGTGGTTATAACTGTGAGATAACGAATAAGCAGGCAGGTTTCTGAGAGTGTGAAGAAATAAACCGTAAGGGGTGTGGGAGACGGCTCGGGGAAAGGGGACTCGTCAGCCAAGGCTAAGAACCTGAGTTTGATCTCTGAAGCTTACATGACAGGAGGGGAGAACTGACTCTTCCAGGTTATCCTCGAATCTCCACATATGTGCAGTGGTATGTGCCTGTCTGCACACATATGTACATTCTCAAATACATGTGTACACAAAGTGAACAGAGCAAAATATGTAAACAATGAAAAAATAAACAGGCCTCTAACAGCAGGCTTCAGGAAGAAGCCTATGGGCTAGGATTGGAAAATGAATTCCTGCAAACCTCCCCTGAAAACAGGAGGGTTAACCCTATTTTCTTACAAGTAACTCTTGGCTTGAGGACCTTGCCTTGGCTAGGTGAAGAGCTAGTCATTACAGTGCATGCCCAGTGGCCTCTGTGTGCTGCAAGGACCCAGGATGCTGCTGAATCCCAGCGCTTGGGGAGCTGCATACATTACACTCTAAGACTTGCAGTCCCTCTTTGGTTTCTTTTATTGTAAAAAATATCTAGTTTATGTTCTAAACTACATAACGTAGCTTCCATCCAGATGAATACGGTTCTGGTTTACTTAGATGATTTTATAAATATATCCAAACAGACAATACTGTAGAAGTTCCTTTTCAGAAGAGTTAAGTGCAATAGGATTTGTATTGTGTATTATTAAACGAAAAGCCAATTTGGAACCACACAGCACTTTGAAGTTAGTGGCAAAGGTTTTTTTTTTTAATTCATGAAATGCATATTTCACATCAAACCTTCTACCAGACTGTCTTTATACCTAAGATCAATCCCAAACAAACAAACAATACACGGACAAACCAAAATGAGATGCTCATTCAGAAATAAGAAAAGATAAGTACTGTTTTTACGCAAGCAATTTAATAATATTAATAGTAGAAACTTCACTTTTCTTCATATGCTCAGAATTGAAGAGGAGAAAAAAAGATACTTGAGAAAATCCACGTATATATACAGAAAACTAAGCAAGCTCCTCATGGCAAAATAAAAGTATTGGTAAATACTAAATACCCAGCAAACATTCTGATCAATGAGGTAAAGTTCCATCACTGCTAGCCCATCAGTCTAACTTTAAAAAAATAATATTTCTGTTTTGTTTTTCTAGACAGGGTTTCTCTGTGTAGCCCTGGCTGTCCTAGAACTCACTCTGTAGACCAGGCTGGCCTCGAACTCACAGATGACTGCTTCTGCCTCCCAAGTGCTGGGATTAAAGGTGTGCACCACTGCCCGGCTCAAATGTTTTTCTAAAAGAACATTTAGGGTGTCCTGACTCAATCTTTTGGGTTAGCATTTCTGCTTCTAGGGGTCTCTGGCAGGGTCATTTCCAAGAGGGAACAGTGTGGTCGAATGGGCTGAGTTTAAACCAACCAGCAGAAAAACAGGACGGAGGGGTGGGGAAACATGGAGTTGCATCGGACTGGTTTTGGTCAGTTCCACTCCCAGGTCTACCTAATCTGTGCTTCCCACAGTGCACAGCAGCTGATGTGCCAGAAGGGCGGGTGGGGTGGGGGCTAGTACTGAAATACGTCCTGGGATTCCTCTTCTAGGAGAATAAGAACCTTATTGATCCAAAGGACATGGATGGCATAAGCTTGCCAGTGTTCCTGGGTACAGGTTAGAGATGGAGCTCTAGTTAGGAGGTAACATGATAGGGTAACGGGGTTGAGGCCCTCCAAGAACAACAAAAATACTCCAACCTACCCTGGGAGAGACTCGACTCATGGTTTATTTACTATTATTATTTTATGTGTAATATAGTATTAGTATTTAATGAGTATTGTATCTGTACCGCAGGTGTGCTCACACGCTCAGTGGCCAGAAGAGGGCATCAGATCCCTTGGAATTGAGTTATAAATATCTGTAAGCTTCCATGTGGGCTCTGGGAATGAAACCCAGGTCCCCTGGAAGAGCAGTCAGTGCTCTTAACCACTGCGCCATCTCTTCAGTCCTGGCAGTAATAAAAAAATAATATATATTACTATTATATCATATTATATTAATTTACCTACTTATAGAGTGAGAGCGCTAGCTCTCTGAGATCTCAGGGTGAAGCCTCATGTTGCCCTGGAAGGGGTAGGGGTGGATGTGGGGTGCACAGTCTCCATCCTTTGGAAATATATCTTTTGGTATACTCTGGTTGTTAGTAACGGCCAGTACATCTAGCTGTAGTAGGGTCACTATCTTTTAAAGGCTAAGTGGAGAGCAGCATCAAACCAGAGGAAATTGGGACTAGTGGGAAAGACATTACGTAAGTACAATAAAACGCTACATGAACATAGAATGTTTAGTTTCTTTACAGCACTAGGTGCATGAAGCATGTTCCAAGTGATTCGTGAACACCGAATGTGTCCCACCTCTCTCCTACATACCATAATATACATAAATAGCCCATTTAACCCACACGGTAGGTCTCAGGCAGGAGTCATTCCCATTTTATAAATCTGAAAATAGGCTCTGCAAAGTCTCTTTGAAAAATGTCCTTTAATCATCTATTTAAAACGGTGAATGATAGGACTGGAGAGATGGCTCAGTGGTTCAGAGCTCTTAGGGAGAACTCAAGTTCAATTCCCAGCGCCTGCATGGTCACTAGCCACTGTAGCTCCAGTTATAAGGGATCTGACACCCTCTTAATGGCCTCCTGTGGTACTGCACACATATGATGAACAGATGTACATACAGGTAAAACATTCACACACAAAAAGTAAATCTTGAAAAAAGTTAAGATGGGAAAATCATTTTGGGGGGGGGTATTTGGTTTAAAGGAGTTTCTTTAATATTTAAATGTAGTATGGCGCATGTGCTTTTCCATTTACAAATATATGGCAACCTCGCCCAATATCATAAATTAGCTTTTGATATATCTTTCAAGCCATTCATGCTATTTATCTCTAAAGAGATACTTGCACAAATGGAGAAGGGATAAAACACGAGATCAAAAAGCAGCGTCCATCTGGCCTGACTCTGATGGGGATCATAAGCCTTTTCCTGGATGCTTTTGGATGTCCCCTTCTAGGAACAGAGGTGTATAAGTCAAAGAGGCTACATGAGGCCCTCCTTGCCATTATCAGTAAATTAAACGCTCAGACCTTTCTATAGAGAAATCAGCCATACTCATTTAGGGCTAAGAAATCACAAAAGTGAAGCTCTCTTTAGGGACAGGAGTGGTATGCACCCATTTGAAAGCCTTCAGTGTGTATAAGGAAAGCCAAAATCATCAGGCCATTTCACTATTGCCCTGTACTTCCACGGAGACAGATAACTAGATGTGGGCATGCAGTGCCTCCGTGATCACTTAAGTCTCTAAGTACATTCAGAGAGAATGGCAGGGGGATTGTAAATGCTTAGAAGGCTCTTGGGCTTGCGTCTTGGCTTTCAGGTCCTCTCATGCTCCCCAAACTTCCCTGAAAGAAGACAAGGTAGCAGCGCAAACTAGGGAGGGCAAGTACGATGGGCAGACTTACATAGGAAAAATGCTAAGCCTCACTTCCTGTCCATGAGGAAATCTCCCTGGTTCTCAGTCTTGGCTGTCTACGGAGACACATATTCATTCTCTCTGAACTCACTTCATAGGGGCTGCAACGGCATTTTATACCTCTTCTGAGGAAGCATGAAGAGGGAATACAGGGTTCATGGCACCTGACACCTGAGAATAGCATTGGAGAAAATCATAACTGCAGACATAGTTGACTACCAAAATTTTGTTCTTTTATTCATAACGTACATAGTAAATAACAGTTTTATGGTAAAAACTGGAAACTAAGTCTTAAGAGCGGGGAACAGTGTGGATTACTTTCTGGGACGCAAAGCATACCTCCCCCCAATTTTCTCTGCTACCAGATTCTTATCATGGGAATCTCTACATAGTAAATAACAGTTTTATGGTAAAAACTGGAAACTAAGTCTTAAGAGCGGGGAACAGTGTGGATTTCTTTCTGGGACGCAAAGCATACCTCCCCCCCAATTTTCTCTGCTAACAGATTCTTATCATGGGAATCTCTACATAGTAAATAACAGTTTTATGGTAAAAATTGGAAACTAAGTCTTAAGAGCGGGGAACAGTGTGGATTTCTTTCTGGGACGCAAAGCATACCTTCCCCCAATTTTCTCTGCTACCAGATTTTTATCATGGGAATCTCTACATAGTAAATAACAGTTTTATGGTAAAAACTGGAAACTAAGTCTTAAGAGCGGGGAACAGTGTGGATTTCTTTCTGGGACGCAAAGCATACCTCCCCCCAATTTTCTCTGCTAACAGATTCTTATCATGGGAATCTCTACAGTCTGTCACTGACTCTCCTCCACCTGGCCGTGTTGCCTGACAATGTGTCTTCTGGTGTCTGACGAAGCTTGACTGTCTGCTAAACCTTTTCTCACACAGGCTACACGAATAGGGCTTCTCTTTAGTGTGGACTACCTGGTGTCTAACCAGGCTACACTTCTGAGTAAACGCTCTCTCACATCTCAGACACTTATAGGGTTTCTCTCCTGTATGAATTCTTTCGTGTTTATGTAAGTTTGTGTTGAGAGAAAAGCTTTTCTGGCACCAGGAGCACGTATATAATTTTATTCCTTTGTGTGTCCGGGAATGCGCTGTCAGATCTGACATCCACCTGAACCTCAGGTCAAACTCCTGACAAGGAAAAGGCTTCTCTCTGGTGTGAACTCTATGGTGCCTAACAAGCTCAGCAGGAACTCGGAAGCATTTCTTACACTCCTGACACTGATGACGTTTTGGAACCTGTTTTTTACCACCTGAAGCTGACACTGTTCCCCTCCTGGGATGAGCCTGACCACGTTTCTGTGCCCTGAGTGTGTCTGCACGGGTTTTTCTGCTGTTTTTGTTCTGGGCAGCTTTCTTTCTGGTGTTTGAAACTTTAGACGGTTTTGCTTCTATTCCTGATGTAGAGGCAGATTCAGGCTGATCATTTCCCTTGTCATTTTCTGGCTTTAACCCTGTTCAAATAAAGAAAAGAATCAGTCAGGTGTTTTATAGACAAGAAAATTTAAAGACTAGAGAGAACTGTCGATGAAAATTAAAGAAATACATAAACTAGTGACTCTGGCCCAGGCAGAAAAATGGTTCATATCCATAGTCCCTTATCCCATCTTCGAGGCACAGAAAGAAGCCCATCAAATGGTGCCAGAAGTTACAAAGGGAATCAGAAAAAGCAGAGAGAAGACAAAGAGGTGTAAGACTCAAGAATTTTAGAAAGAAACACCAAACAAAAACCTAGCAAAGTACATCACACCCAAACAAACACCCAGAAGAAAGTAGAAACTCAAACCCAGTATTTTCCAACCCAAAACCTATCTGCAGAAGGCTGCCTAGACAGACTTACGCCTTTCTCAGACCGAGTGTGAAACCTTTTAAAGACTGGTAAAACGCAAACCAGACACGGCTCCGAAAAGGAACCCTCCTGGTATCTGTCAACAATAAGCAGATTGGGGAGTATATACTAGCATTCTGTCAGAGCATGGAAGCTTCCCTCAAGAAGCCGAGAGATAAACGACATGTCTAAACAGCTCCATCTACGGATGGTGTCATGTCACATAAGGGCCAATGAATAAGAAGTACCTTCAACATTGTAGGCATGAGATACATTCTTATAACAAGAGCCACGGAAGTGAAGAAGCAGAAAGAGCAGGAGAGACCCAGCTAGAACTAGTGACCTGGCTTAGGAAGCCTTTTCCACAATGCCTTCTATGCACTTAGACAGCATCAGCCATAAGCCATGGCAGAACTAGCGGGATCAGAGGAACCGAAAGACACAAGATGCCAGGAAGTCTCTGAAAACAAAACTCATTGGAAGAAAGTCATATAAAAGCGATGAAGACTCTGCATGTTAAACTAACAAAGCGTGGGTGTCTGCTAAAATGACATATATCGACAGGACCGGAGCTCTCTGATTGTAATAGATAAACCAATTAGAATGCAATAAAGGCACTTATCAGACTAAACCCTAAGAGAGTTGTAACTCGAGTAAATGGCAAATCTGACAAAGGTGTAATCAAACTAGAAAACAAAATCAGAAATTGTATAACTTAAAGACACATGGAAGCAATAGGCTTACAAATAATGTGTCGCTAAGGAAAACCCTCAAAGCAGGGCGGTGGTGGCACATGCCTTTAATCCCAGCACTCGGGAAGCAGAGGCAGGCTGATCTCTGTGAGTCTGTGAGTTTGAGGCCAGCCTGGTCTAGAAGAGCTAGTTCCAGGAACCAAAAAGCTACAGAGAAACTCTGTCTCGAAAATCAAAAAAAAAAAAAAGAAAAAAAAAAAGAAAAGAAAACCCCCAAAAGAGAGTGAGAGAGTGTAATATACTTATATTGGAATGAAAATGAAGCTAAACTACATCAATTTATAGAGAGTAGAGGTAAGGAAGTGGTCAACGACATACATGTAGCCTTAAGTGCTCACAGCAGAAAAGAAGAAGGCGACAATCTCCAAGTTCCCTCCTCGAGAAACTTGCAAAAAGCAAATTAGGCCTTAACCAATGTTACTAGATGAAATTTCAACAATGAAAATGGACATCACTAAGTAAAATGCTGCTTTTCAAACAGAATAGAAGCAGTAAGTCAGCACCAAGACTGACAGGAAATCATACCATGCTGAAAGGACTAACAAGAAGCACAGAATCCCAGCAGGCTCTGTTGCACAAGACTATGATCTCAGCGCTAGGGATATACCTGGAGGGAGAATAATGAGCGTAATTACGGGCCACATTGCAAAACCCTGTCCCAAACAGCCCTCCTGAAAGGAAGGGATATAGGGCAGGTGGTGGTTTATGAGAACTGGCCCCCAAGGGCTCCTCTATGTGACTGTTTTGACAACAGGAATCAAAACTATTTGAGAAGGATTAGGAAACTTGGACCCGTCGGAGGACATGTGCCACTAGTGGTGAGCTTTGACGGTTCAAAATCCATTTAGTTTGCTGCAGACTAAGACACTATCGAAACAAAGTGTGACATTATCACATACACTCAGAACACCAAATCTCTGGAGATGAAAAGCAGAGATTCATGAGTTCAAGCCAAGCCTGAGACGCACATTGAGAATCTGGCTTAAATGATGAAAGAAATGAAATTCAAATGTTCTTAGCAATTGACAAAAGTATATGACAAAATCTCACATCCATTCATGATAAAAAAAAAAAAGAAAACAACTCGTAAATGTAGAATCTTTGAAATTTTTACAAAAGCAAGAAACCTGCCCCCGTACTAAGTACAGGAAGTTGAAGTTAACGCAATAAAGTCAAGACAAAGAAATAAAAAAGCATTATGGATAATTGATACAAGGAAAATGCTGAGGTTGCCGAAGAAATCTAAACAACAACAACAACAACAACAAAAAACACTTGTAGGGAGTTCACTCTGATAAAAAGTCCATGATAAAGTCCAAGGCATTCATTTATGATATAATGAGGAAATCAAAATTAAAACTGGTATCCTTGCTGTTGTTATAATGGGAAAAGCTGAGACACATACTTCACAAAATATGAAGAGTATCTACATACTGAAAATGATAAAAAGTTGTTGAAAGAAATCAACAAACACCTAAAGCCAGACACATCATATTCAGGAATCAGAGGCATCAGCACAATGAAGATACCGGGACTCTTCAAACAAACGTATATGTTTAATGCAATTTTTAGTGAACGCCCAGTTTGTTGTAGGCCTAACTAAGCTTAGTGTAGAATTTCCATATGCCTCTCCTACCTACTCAGGGAGCAGTCTGCAGAGACAGGGGTGTAGGGGCCACAGCAGTACAGTAGCTCAGTGAGTAAGCATGTCCTCTAGGAGGGTCATGGTGGGACGGTGGCCACTGCTGTAGCTCCATGGGAGGCTGAATCTGGTGAGACCACCAGAAACAGAGTGGCAGCGGCACCACTACCGTGTCAGAATGCCAGCTGTTTTAGTATTTCAGGTAGAGCTTGTCTTTTTCATCTTTAAAGCAGAAGCAGCAATTTAGAACAGCACAATAAAACATTTAAACATTTAGAACAGCACAGCAGAAAACATTTAAACATGAAGTTATTATCATAAAATTGAACACAGTGCATGGCTTTGGCGTGTATGTGTGTATGGAGGTATTTGTGTGCAGGATATAGGGTAACCCTTGGTACTCATCCACCTTGTGCGTTTTAAGTCAGGATACTTGACTGACTCTGGAGCTCACCAAGCAAATGAGGTTGGCTGGTCAGTGAGCCCTGGAGATCCAGTTTTCTCCACCTCCCTGGTGCAGTTATTTCAGATTTCTGACAGCACACCTGACCTTTTAATATTTATTTATTTCCCGAGACAGGGTTTCTCTGTTGCCCTGGCTGCCTTGGAACTCACTCTGTGGAACAGGCTGGCTTTTAACTCACAGATCCACCTGCCTCTGCCTCTCAAGTGAATGGATTAAAAGGGTGCATCACCATCACCTGGCTCACACTTGACTTTTTGATGTGGTTATGGGGATCTAACTCAGGTCCTCACCCTTGTGTGTCAAAGGCCACCAATTGAGCCTCTCTCAGCCACCAACGAAAAAGGGACTTCAGAACTGAGCACAGTGTGGAATATTTGGAAACACATTGATGAACAGGATGAGCAGGGGAACGGGAAGCACAGTTCTAACACGAATTGAACAAAATACATAACAACGTACAGAAACTTAAACATCACTTAAATGATGTGATACCTGCACCTCATTTTATTGCAAAGCTCAGAAAAGAGAAACGAGAAACTAAAAATGTAAATAACACTTTTAAAGAAGCACAATTGGTATAGGAGGGTCATCTGTGTATGAGTTTCTGTCACTGGTTAAATAAAGAGACTGCCTTGGCCTTTTGATAGGACAGCAGCTTAGATAGGTGGAGTAGACAGAACAGAATGCTGGGAGAAAAGAGGCAGAGGCAGAGAGCCTCCATGAAGCTGCCAAGTCAGACATCCCGGTAAGCGACAAGATTGTGGTGACATACAGATTATTAGAAATGGGTTGAATCAAGATGTAAGAATTAGCCAAGAAGAGGCTAGAGCTAATGGGCCAGGCAGCAATTTAATTAATACACATTTCCGTGTATTTTTCATGGAATTTCAGGGGATAAACTAGATGGGTGGCGGGGACGCAGCCCGCCGCTCCTTTTACTACACACAATGGTCAATATATAAAGACTCTGTAAAAGGGAAAAAAAATCAACAATTACTAATAAAGACCTGAACATTGTCCTGGTTAGTTTTTTTTTTTTAATCAACATGTAACAAGTTAGAGTTATCTGGAAAGTAGAAAGTCAACTGAAAAAACACCTCCATCAGACTGCCAATAGGCAAAGTTATATGGAATTTTCTTGATTACTGATTTATGTGGGAGGGTCCAGCCCCTGTGGGCAATGCCACCCCTGGGCAGATGAACCTAAGTTGCATGAGATAGCAGTCTGAAGAAGTAAGCAAGCAGCTCCCCTCCATGGCCTCTGCTTTGGTTCCTGCCCTACTTGAATTCCTGACCTGACTTTATGAAATGTCAGATGAGAAGTGCCATTTGATTATGGTGTTTATCATAGCAATAGAAATCCTAACTAAAGCAAGTGCCAAACCAAGGACAAATGACCCATGAGATCTAGATAATTCAGAACAGAGAAAGCTCTCAGGGGTATCTCCAGAAAAGTCACACCACATACTCTTCTGAAAAAAGCATCATTTTTTTTTCTAGACATGGTTTCTCTACAGCTTTGGTGCCTGTCCTGGAACCAGCTCTTGTAGACCAGGCTGACCTTGAACTAATAGAGATCTGTGTGCTTCTGCCTCCCGGGTGCTGGGATTAAAAGAGTGCACCACCACTGTCAGGCTAAAAATGTCAATTTCAAAGAAAATTTTTGGCCACCAAGTGGGGCAAAAGGGCCTGAGTTTATTATGAAGAATATAAGTTTGTGATGGTGAGGGGGGAAAACTATCAAGGGAAGGCAGAGTTCATGGGAGAAGTTGTAGGGGACCTCCCTGGGAAAAGAGAGGATGAAGTTCGGCAGTAGGAAAAACTTTTCCCACAGCTTCTGCCTTGAGAAGAAGAAAAAGTCCATCCAGAATTAGAAAACCAAAAAGAAGCAAAAAAGACACAAAAAGTCAAAGAAAGAATACAATATGCTTCCCCCACCAATAAATTGAAAGATAATCAAAAGCAAAAACAAGAACAGAGAAGGAAACAGAAAGAGACAGATGACGCTTGAATATAATACAGAAAAGTATAGACATTTTTACAAAGTGTGTCCCAGTTAAAATAAGAAGAGAAAGCCAAGAAAGCAACAGAAAGAGTGTCAGTGCCATTTCATTCTAGAAAGCTACATCCTGCTAACGAAATGAACAGGAAGAATTGTTGAGACCTGGAAAGGAGGTAAGGGAAGAAAAAATGGAAACTCCTGCAGCTGCTGCAAGTTCCGGGTTTCCAGAAGGAGATTTATATATACTTGAACAGAAAGTTGTCCATAGGCAGGCAAAGGGTCTCAGCCATTGTTCTACTGCTGTGAAGAGACACCATGGCCACAGGGACTCTTATAAAAGAACGTATTTAATTCAGGGCTTGCTTATGGATGAAGAGGATTAGTTCATTGTCATCACGGTGGGGAGTATAAAGGCATGGAGAAGTAGCTAAGAGCTTTACATCCTGAGGAAGAGAGAGGGAGTAAAAGAGACAGAGAGACAGAGACAGATAGACAGAGAGACAAAGATTCACAGAGAGACAGAGACAGACAAAGACAGACAGAGACAGAGAAACACACAGAGACTGAGATAGTAAGAGACACGGAGGGAGAGACTGGGCCTAGTGTGGGCATCTGAAGCCTCAAAGCTCACCCCCAGTGACACATATCCTCAAACAAGGCACACCTACTCCAACAAAGTGGTACCTTCTAAACCTTTTCAAACAATTCCACTAACAGGGACCAAGTATTTAAACGTATGAGCCAATGGGGACCATTCCCATTCAAACCACCACACTAAGGAAGATGGAAAGGCAGAAAAATACTGGGAAAATTACAAACAAACCAACCAACCAACAAACAAAAAACCAACCATAAAAGCAACAAACAAGCGAAACGAAGAAACGGAAAGAAACTAAAAGACAAAAGAAAACAAAGGAACAGCATGTTAGTAAAGATTCCTTAACAGTTTACAAAGTCAGGAGGCAACAATCAGAAAGACAGGACCAGGACTGGAGAGGTGGCGCCAATGTTAAGAGTGCTTGCTGCTCAATCATGAGACCTCAGTCCTAGTCCTGCACACAGATGTCTCCTGTTCCAAGTGGTCCAAAGACCTCGTTAGCCTCAATGGATACCCTCAGAAACACTCACATAGACAAAGAAGCACGCATAAATAACAAGTTTTTTCTTTCTTCTCTCTCTCTCTCTCTCTCTCTCTCTCTCACTGTATTTATTCATTCTTTCTTTTCAAGGCACGATCTCTCTATGTAACAGCAGCCCTGGCTGTCCCGGAACTTGCTCTGTAGACCAAGCTGGCCTCGAGCTCACAGAGATCCACCTGCCTCTGCCTCCTGTGTGCTGGGATTAAAGGCATGAGCCACCACCACGGCGCCTTTATTTCTTAATAAAAGAGAAAAGGACCAACAGTCCCCTGGCTACCAGTACATGACCCACACAGGGCTATTCCAGCCTGGGGATGAGGAATAAAGAAAAGAATGAAAGATAATGGAAATACTCAACATCTGAGGGGAATGTGAGGATATCATCAACAGGAGAGACTGGTTAACCGTGTCCTTCACCACCACCACCACCACCACCACAGTAGGTTGTTACTGGTTCATATACGAATCGAGATTGCCAGCAGTTCTTGTATCTTCTAAGAGTTTATGCATTTCAGGTATATATTGCCCCAGTATTTATGTAAAAGTCAGTTAAATAAGTTTATGTCACTAGCATTCTATTAACAGAGTGAAAAATTTCAAAGATTTTTGTTATAGCATAGAAAAAGAAGACTTTGAAATTTGTTTCTAATTTAGAAGCAAGTAAATTTGATAAATAAAAATTAGAGTTTTTTAGAGCTATACTGAAATAATTTAGTATATTCGTTAAGTTTAACAAACTGGTAGCTTGTCAATGATTGCATTCTGTGCAATCAAGACTTTGTATTTGCTTGAAGAATTCTTCATTTTATAAAGGAACATTTATTTTAAAAGTAATGTTAACAAACCCTGCTGATTACAATAGTGATGTTACCAATTATTTAGGATAGTAAGGAAATGCAGCCGGGCGATGGTGGCACACGCCTTTAATCCCAGCACTCGGGAGGCAGAGGCAGGCGGATCTCTGTGAGTTCGAGACCAGCCTGGTCTACAGAGCTAGTTCCAGGACAGGCTCCAAAGCCACAGAGAAACCCTGTCTCAAAAAAAAAAAAAACCCAAAAAAAACAAAAAAAAAAAAGAAATAAGGAAATGCAGACTAGTTGTTAGTCATTTATTAAATGAAACTTGTAGTCATATTAGGTATGTTTTCAAGATCAAATACATATTTTAGAAAGACAGGTCGTCTTCCAATATTTCAGAGATTTACGGAATATGGCATTTGAGATATCTTCTCCTGGTAGCATCAACCTACTCCAGAGAAGATAATGGACACTGAAGAAACTCTACATGGAGTTTACTTTTGTGGCCAAAGAGTCACTAAGCAGGAAAATGCCCTTGCCTCGACTGCTGACAGTGTGACGTCCTAATTGGACAAGCAAGACCCAAGAGAGAGTGACTGCCAAACCCTGTCAGACAAGAAGGGAGAGCCCTTCTGAATATCCTACTTCACAGAAAAGTCTGTCAGATATGTATAGTCTATAGGCCTGTAGGATGAAGGTAGATGCCTCAATGGTGCAGAGAAACTTTGGTGACTGTCCAGGCAGCCAGCTGTCTCTGTCATCTCTCTCATTTTTTGGAAGTCACTTACTAGCAGTTCTTACTTACGCAGTTAATGTTATTTCCTTCTTGAGTCTCTGAGGGAGTTGAAGATTAGATAGTTATAGCTATAGTTTATCAGATGCAGAAAGCAAGTTATGATAGAAAGTAAATTATGTATAAGATGTTGGACTCACCAAGATAGGATAGATATAGAGTATTTTCTCTAAATTTGTCAAATGCAAACGGACTAGACAATGTTGAATTACTTATTGCCTGTATATCTTGTATATAGTCACTGTACTCATTGTATATAATTTTTCTCATATTTGTTATAGCCTTTCCCTTTTTATTTTGGACAAAAAGGGGAAACATAGTGATATCCACTTGTATTTTAGTAAATAAATTTTGCCTAAGGATCACAGAGTAAAACAGCTACACTGGTCAGCGTTACAGACCAGGCAGTGGTGGCACACACCTTTAATCCCAGTGGCCATTCTAATTTGTCATAGCAACCAAGTGGTAGAGGTACATGCCTTTAATCTCAGCACTAGAGAGGATTACAAAAAGGGAGGAGACAGCCCTCAGTCTCATTCTGAGATTCCTGGAAGCAGGATCACCCTTTCAGACTGAGGTCGAGGTAAGAGTCAGTGGCTGTCTGTTCTGCTTTTCCAACCTTCAGGTGGAACCCTCATTTCTGTCTCTGGGTTTCTATTAATTGTGCTACACTTATAGTTAAAACATTCAGCCTTGAATTCAACTTCATACTCAATGTAAAACTTATTCAAAACAGTGTGGCCTTACATGTAAAAACAAAATTAAAAGTTTTGGGAAACTTACGGGTATCTAGTGCTAAGGGATTGAAGAGTTCGCGCCTTCATGGTGAAACCATGCACTGTAACAGGAAAAGTTGATCCTCATTAAAATAAAAAAACTTTTATTCTATAGGAGCCCATGGGAAGAGGACAAGACAGTACTTTAACAGTGATAATTAACTACAAGCCAAACATCTAGCAAAGCATCAGAATCCAGAAAATGGAAAGACCTCCCGGATTCAGCGGTCACGAAGCAATCTAATTCAATTACACTCTCAAAGGAGCTTTCTCACAGCGCTATTTTTCATAAACACAGGCTACACCATACAACATATCCACGCACGGAAGAAGGCATCGTTACCTAGAGAGGCAGCCATCTTGTAGATGTTCAGCATTTCCTCACTGTAGAGTGTCTTCTGAGAAGGATCCAGTAAACGCCATTCCGTCTCAGAAAAATGCATGTCGATATCATCAAATGTCAACAAGTCCTGAAGAACAGAATGGATTTGAGTTTAGTACTACTGATGCAGAAGCTGCTTGGTCACCTGCCTCTGACTCACGTGGTTGGCTGTATGCTGAAGAAATTAACATAGAGTTTAGATGGAAAAACCAAAAGGACAGGAAGTAGTCAAGTGAACTATCCAATTCCCATTCTCATCATGCCAAATCCAGTTGTCTGGACAGCATGAAGGTCTGACACACCCCTGAATACCTAGTGGGCACTGTGGGTCTCAGCAGAAGGAAAGCGTAGAAATGAGGCTGCCTGAAAAAGATGAGAGTTAGGATAACCGAAACAGTAACAAAAAGCCATCTGTCATCTTCCAGCCCTTCTATGTAGCAGCCTCCATGCCTACGTACAGCCAACGACCAGGGTCGTGTTGAGCAGACTGGAGTGTTGCTCTAAAGCTGCCTTCATCAGTTCTTTTCTTGACTCTGAGCCTCGAGAAGTGGTTTTCTCTTTTCCTTTTATGCAAAAGATACAGCATGGTACTTAAAAGGCTTTTCTGTCAGGCCAATGTTTAAATCTCCCTATAAGTAAGGAAAGCTTTTGTGGGGGAAGGGATGAAACAAAGGGATTCAAACAAAATGAAGACCAGGATGAGCTCCAACCTTTCTCTACAGGATTTGGTTACAACTGGACACCAAGAAATAAACTCTGCCTCATATTCTTAGGTTGGCTCCCATAGAGAAGTGATATGCGTATATCACCTAGGGCTGTTTCTTGGTCACCTAGGGCTGTTTCTTGGTTCCCACTCACTAGCAGTACTGGGAATCTGCCACTAAGAGAGAACAGTGGGGCTCCATTTCTCTGGGCTCAGGGGTGTGTTTTCATTAGAGGATACCGTCCTCAGCATCTGGATTCCCTCCCCCTCTCTGGGAGCAGTTTTCTTCAAAGACTTTCTTTCAGTTTTGCTTCCCATGTTACTCTTCCTGTGTTGTCTCCCAACATTGTCTGATTTGAGCTTCCGTTCTCTGACATCCACTTTAGTCTCGGCACTATCACATGTTTTGAATCCACCTTCCCATACCTTTCTTACCTTTTATTTCAGTTTCTAACCTCTCAAGTCTTGTATTCTTAGATATGCTAGAGTAGGCCCTCCAGCATCAATTCCTGGCCTTAAAATGAGAAAAACACACTTGTTCCTTTTAAGGCCATGAAAGACTCTGCCTGTGACTCTGGACCGTATGGAGCGACTGTCAGCACATGATTTTGGATCCCACCTAGCCATTCTAAGAAATAAGGAAATGTGACTAGCTGGGCAGTGGTGGTGGCTCACGTCTTTAATCCCAGCACTCAGGAGGCAGAGGCAGGCGGATCTCTGTGAGGTCGAGGCTAGCCTGGTCTACAAAAGCTAGTTCCAGGACAGGATGCAAACCCACAGAGAAACCCTGTCTCAAAAACAAAACAAAACAGAATAAAAAAGGAAAATGTGACTAAATCGATCTCACTCCTTGAAAACTCTTAACCAAGACATGGCTACCGTTATCCTATGATATTGGGCATTACAAGGAATTACTCATTCTCACCTTGTCGGGGACTGCATCAGGCTCCTTCTGCAAGCTTTCGACCAGACTCACAGTCTGTTTGACATCTCCCGGATGATGCTTTTGCATCCAGTTCCTCATTCCCTGGGGCAGAATGCTCAGGAACTGCTCCAGCACCAGAGAGTCCAGGATGTGATCTTCGAAGTTGGTCTCTGGCATCAGCCACTGAAAGCATAATTCGTGAAGCTTCCTGGCAGCATCTAGTGGTCCAGGTACTTGGTTGTGGCAGATGTTCCGGAAGTGCTGCTGAGCATTCTCGGGAGGGGCCCGTTTGGTTGGTGACCTGCCCTCCCTGTTGTGGTTTGAGCTACCTTGCATAGGCAGGTTACTTTTCTGCACACGCCCCATGGGTGTGCCGAAGCACCTCTCTTCCTTCCCTTTCCTCCTCATCACTAGAGGAACGGTTTTCCTTTTCTGGGAGACACTGATGCCCTCTTGGTGCCACCTTTCACAGTTGAGGCACCATCAGTTTGGATGCAAAATCAATCAATGAATGAATCTTCTTCCTAAGGGCAGATACAGGGGAAGAGAGAGAAAAAAGAAAAATTGTGAGATATATCGGCATTTATTTTTGGGCCAAAATTATTTCAGGGCCTGTACCTCGAGGCCTGTAAAACAGAGAAAAGCCTGGCTCAAGTTTGAGGGAACAGAGTGAGGATGAGACATCAAAACCCAGGTAGGCGCCCCTCCAGCCAGAGGGAGGGCTTGGCTGTCTCTCATCGGCTGGAGGTACCCCTGCATCACACCATGTCACTTAACCTGTACAAGCTGACGCTCACAGTAATCAACTGAGTTCCTGCTTTGACTTGACTCCCTATGGCTTCTGACTGCCCTGCTTCGTGGGGCTGCAGAATGGGCAAATAGCACACTCACCTTTCCCTGGGGGAATAAGGAGTCTAAGGAGACCTGGCAATTTATTACCAAAGAAAACTGAAAGTTCCGGCCCCTTTAAATTCAGCTGTCAGGTACTGCAGTATGCACTACCTCTGAAGGCAAGCTTCTCTCCTCTGTTTTTCCACATTAGATCACAGCATAGCTCACTCCGTAAAGACAGATGCCAAGAGATGCCCTCTTTTTTTGCTGAACAGTTTAGGAAAACTTGATGAATGACAAAACCAGCTCCCCATGACTAAAAGGCACTCTGAGATTCCAATACTCTATGTGTGCGCATCTGTCCAATGCTCACACATAGGGCAAGTTTCTGGTTCTTTTACATGTAGCAGATAGTCCTCGTCTTTCAGCTTCACTCAGTGGAAAACTAACTTCTATGCCCTCTAACTGTTTCACAGCAAGTTAAGTTGCTTTGCTTCACGGAACATTTACCATTGTTCCATTGCCACCGTTGTATAACACTGAGAGGATACCCGAGACAGTAAGAGCAGAGATGTTGTTAAAGCAAAGGCAACTGAATGCGTCTCAGTGAATGTCGTCCCACAATGGAAACAGGCCCCTGCTATTTGGGCGATGCCCATCTCTGAACAGTTTATAAAGGGCCCTGTATAAATTTGTTGCTGTATATCCTAGCATGTCTTTCACTGGAAAAACTTACAGCTGCCCTTTGCTTTCGAGCTAGTCAAATGGCTGTTTAGTTTTAAGACAGAAATGAAGGTTCCCTTTTCTAATTTATTAATGTTAATTTATGTGCCATAGTGGGTTGCCATGGGTGTCGGGCGCTGTGAAACTGGAACTAGGGACAGTTGTGAGCTGCTAAGTGGGTACTAGGAATTGAACCCAGGTCCTCTGGTAGAGTAGTCAGTGCTCTTAACCACTGAGCTATCGCTCTAATCCCAGAAATGACGATTCTTATAGACAGGAAGGCTCTGAATAAGGGTAACCCTTCTCCAGACTCCACACTTTCTCCGAATAGGAATGCATGCTCCAGGCTAAGGATACCCTCGATGGCCTGATCTCCCTGGGGTAGGCGATCCAGCAGAAACAAGAACAAAACTCTGAGGACGCAGCAAGTGCGCAAGGACAGTCTGTGTCCTTCTTCCAAACACAGGAGATACCGCAGCACTTCCTAGGCTTTTGTGCCAGCAGAAGCCAAATGCTCTTTCCTTGGTATAATGGTCATGAGCTAGTGGAAACTGGCAAGCTTTATGAGTGCAGTGCCAGAGGTTACCACCCGAATCCACATCGCCAATTCATTGCCTTTCTGTACAGGTCACTGGGACATCCACAAACACTGTCTGTAAACAGCTTGTGGCTATGCTTTTAGCCAGCATTCTCGGTTGCATTGGCACATGGATAGCTAGAAGGCTGCTTCTGGAGGTTAGAAGTCTCCAATGGAGTCTGCTTTTGATCCCTGAGAATGGAAGTTCTGAGGAAGGACAGGTACAAAAAAGGAGAGGAAGGAGAGAGGAACAAGCTCCTCTTCATTCTCCTACTTCTGCTTCCTGTCTCTGGATAACACCCAGAAATTTTGACAGGAATAATCAAGTCGTGTGTTAAAGAGCTGTAGTCCCAGTTTGGGAAAACATCACAAACGAGATTGTTAAAATTACCTTATAAAACCCAGGCATGGTGGCACAGGGCCCCTGGGATGCAGAAGCGCACAGATCTCTGTGAGTTCAAAGCTAAGCTAGGCTATATATTGAGTTCCAGAACAGTCAGGGCTCCATAGTGAGACCCTTCTTCAAAAAGGAAAAGGCACAGGGGAGGCTGTTGAGGTAGCTCAGCTGTTGGGAGTGATTATTGCTCTTATAGAGAAGACTAGTTCAGTTCCCAGCACCCCTACAGCTCACAGCAGCCTGTATAAGATCCAAGAATTCAATCAATTCTCTGGACTCTGCTGGCACTCTGCCCTGCTCCCCCCATACAGAGAGACCCAAACGTGCACCTATGAAAAAATTTTAAAAATTTAAAAAATGGCCTATGAGGGACTGGCAATGGATTCAGCGGGTCAAGGAGCTCTCCACTAAACCTCACAGCTTGAGTTAGATCCCTGGAACCCACTTGGCAGGAGGGGCTCCTCCTGCAGAGATGGCTCTGCATCTAAGAACACTTCCTGTTTTCATGGAGGATCTAGGTTCGATTCCTAAAGCCCGCATTGCATGGCACCAGACGCAGAGCTGTCTAAGAAAATTTCATTTTCAAGGGGTCCCATTCTGGATCTCTGAAGAACAAAACAAGTGATGCTGGAAAAAGACCCAGCGGGACACACAAAAGCAAAGGAATCTTGGGGGGGGGGACACGGGGAGGGGCAGTGTAAGCCTTTAATCCCAGCACTCGCGAGGCAGAGGCAGGCAGATCTCTGTGAGCCCGAGGACAGCCTGGTCTACAGAGTGAGTTCCAGGACAGCTAGGACTGTTACACAGAGAAACAGAAAAAGAAAGAAAGAAAAGAAAAACAAACAAAAAGCCCAGAGAACTGCCGTCCAAAATTTGTGATTAGGAGCAAGTATGTGAAGGAGCAAACACATTATCCAGCGCAAGGGGGAGGAGCAAGCCTTTAAGGCAGGAATGGGCGCCAAGTCACAAGCGGGGGAAACTGCCTACGCTCGTGCCTCGTGCGTGCGTCCGTGCCTGCGCGTGCACGCGTGCTAGCGAGAAAATTCGCTTTCTCTTTTTTCTTTGTTTTTAAATGGTGTGTTGCGGCTGGTGAGATGGTTCAGCCATTATGAGCGCTTGCTGCTCTTCCAGTGCACCCCACCCAAGCGAGTTCCACTTCCATCCACCACATCGGCGGCTAATACCTCCTTGTAATTCAAACACCAGAGGGATTTGGCGCCTCTGATTTCCCTGGGCATACTCAACACGGACATACCCTCACACAGAATTAAAAATAAAACAAATCTTTTAAAACGGTCTTATGAACCATGCGGTAGGCCTAATCCCCTGGTGCTGATTAAGGTTCGATATGTACTATTTTCTCTGCACTTCTATTTTCTATCGAGCGGAACCTGTCTTCAGCAAGGATCAAATGCAGACTGCTACAGTCACCTAGCCTCCAGGAGGACCCGTCTAGCTATGTGCCTATGCAAGTCACCCTCCCTTCTCTACCAGGAAAACTGCGGAGTACCTGAAGGTTTCTCCTTAACGACAAAATAATGTGGATAAGAAAAACGAGCAAAGCACCCCGTACTCCCTGTAAATTTGAATGTAGTTGCAGATTAAGGAGTTCAAACGTCCACCCGAAAACACCCGTTTTGGCAATCCATTTTTTTCCAGTGCTCAAACTTGCTGCAAGGCTATGGAAAAATATTGTGTACCAGTCGAGCCCCACTCACCACCCGCCAACAGGTTCTCCGAATCCTCTCCCCAATGGGAAACTCAGCTTGTCTCCTACCGTAAGGGTCGAGGCAACTTCACAGAGGCTGCTTTCTCCGGATGTGATGTCTCTTCTCGTGCTCGTTCACGGTGCCCGCCCAGAAAAGGTTCCCCGTGGAGGGGCGGTTCTGGGTGGGCGGGGAATGAGCTGTGTTTCCGGGGTATTTCGTGAGGCCACACCCAGTGATCTCTCTGTTGTCTCTATGGTTTCGGGAAGAACCGGGACTCATGATCTAGGTTGGCTTTTCCTTTTTTTCCCTTTTCTTTGGATGTATGAATGTGTCCATGCTTGTTTGTGCATGCTTGCATGTGCATGCCTGTTTATATGCACATTGCATGTATGCAGTACCTGTGGAGGCCAGAAGAGGGTGCAGGATCCACTGGAACGTAGTGTCAGGCGGTGAGAGCCAGTTGGGACCCAAACTAAAGTTCTCTATAACTGCTCCAAGCCTTTTAAACTAAGCCATCTTTCCAGCTTCACCCTCCAGTTTTGCAGTCAGTTCAGGAAAGAATTAATGCTATGGAGTCTTGAGACCTGCTGAAAGTCATTGAAGCCCTGAAAATGGTTGCTGGTCTAGGGAATATGTAGCTTACCAGTTCCAGGTTCTAAGATACCCTTCTTCAGTCCCTGAACATCCCAATTGTTCCTCCTGAGTATCTTGTAAATGTTATGATCATTAGAAATTTCTGTGGGCTTCCTTTCAAGGGCCTGAGAGCAAGACCATGCATAGGTCTTCAAAGTAGTCTGGTCTCCTTGGCGTCCCTGGCAGCTAGCCATGTGGGCAGAAGGTGGGCAAAGACAGACACACCATATAGAATAAAGTTTGAATTTATTAGGTGGGTTATGGAAGGGAAGGGAAAAATGGAGAGAGGAGGGTGGTACAGAGAGAGAGAGAGAGAGAGAGAGAGAGAGAGAGAGAGAGAGGAGAGGTGCCTCTCAGAGAGAGAGAGAGAGACAGAGAGACAGAGAGACAGAGAGATGGGAAGAAAAGCAAGATGCTAAAGTTTTAAGCGGGATGGGAGTAGGTGTGGCTTGTCTTTTAAAGGGACAGAACAGATGATTACAGTAAAGGATAGCCCTTTCTGCCCAGAAGACACAAAAGAATAAGGCGCATAGGTTGG